TCAGGTTTCCAGAAGCTGCCTTTCCAGGCACAGAGCTCATAAAAGGGGCTGTGAGATTCAGAGGCACAGGGACACAACCATTAAGCCGCTTTTCTGTGCTTTTGCTTCCGTGCCCCACATCAGCTGCTCTCCTGATCAAGGAGTTTTTAAATTTGCAAAGCAAGCTAGAGGAAAACAACAGAAATGAGCCTGGTGGCTTATTGTGGGTGGATGATTAAACACACCAAGATTGCAGCTGTGATTACCGAGCTTTCAACTCAGGTGATGCCACTTTGGTTTTCCATTCTCCTGCACACATACACTGCGTTAGAGCAGCTTCACTGTAGTAGTGCCAGGGCTGCACACACTGTTCGTCATCACAGCCAGCCAGTCTTACAAACTACTCATCCAAGGCATGCTTCACTGAAATAAGGCACTACCTCCATTTATGCAGTGTCTAAAGCACAAGGCCTCTGCTCTGGGCAACGCTTGGGTTTGGGAACACGGCTTTACCAATCACCTGGGTATGCCAGCACAAGTGCAGCCGCTCCTCCAGCTCCAGAGCAGGCAGACAGACAGCAAAAGTTCTGTGTACACAGCCCAGACCGAGTCAACATGAACATCATCTTATCAGCGTTTGGGCAAAGTTCAGCAGAGCCAACGGCCCTTAGAAGCATCCGCAATACACTGGGCCCAGCAGACATGAGGAGGAACTGGGCAGGTCTGTAAGGAGCCAGAAGAGCTGATGCCACGTTGCCATCCACCAGCCCTAAGCTGAATGGCAGGGGCAGCAGTGCAGGTCCTACTCCAGCTTGCAGCTGTAGGCAGTGCCAGAGCTGCGTGCCCAGACCGGCTGCTGTCTGCAGAGCAGAGCCTGAGGGCCATGGGGCTGGGCTGCTCGTGCAGGAGAGCAAGGAGGAGGGCAGGGGGCAAAGCAAAGCGTGGGAAAGGACGTGGGAAATCTGGGAGAGAAAATACAAAATGGGCTGTAACTGTTTATTCAGCATAAATATTTCTCACCCTGGGAGAACCCTGGTTTTCTGATTGTGTCCTACATCATGACAGCACATGGAACAAATTAACTTGCAGCCATGACCTACAATGAGATCAGAAAAGACTGTTCAAACTAGAAGTTGTGAGCTGATGTTGTCAAAATACTGAGCGGTTGTTTTCTTACAGCCTTTAGGATGATCCCCTGCAGCAAAAGGCTTCAATGTATTCCACAGCAGAGCATGCCTGCTAACAGCTTCCAAGCACTTAAACCCCTGGGAAGCACAGCTATCCCTCACTCATTAGCCTCATTTGATCGAACGGGACAAGCACAAACAAGAGCAAAACCAACAAACTGCAGCAGTGGAAACAGCAGTTTCCCAGAAACATCTAGTAGGAGTGAAATAGCCGAAGTCCCCAGCAAAGCCACATCAAACCTGCAAGATGTATAGACGTACTTGGCACACTGATGCTAGCTTTGAACTTGCCGTGGTCTTTTTGAATCACATCCAAAGTAGAAAAATGGCATTGAGACCTCATCTTCTGCAGCAGAGACAAAGCAGGATCGGTTCAAGTGCTCAGGCACAGAAGTGGCACCAAACACGAGCAGTCCCTGGCAATAAAGAGCAGATCCTATTTTTTAAGCCAGATTTTCTGCAATCCTAAGAACGCAGAGATGTGTCTCAGCAAGCACACTGAGTCCCGTGTGCAGGAACCTTCCCTTCCCTCTGGCTGTTTTCCCCATCTTGGTGCGTTTTCAGCAGTCATGTTTTTGCCTTCCTTTATGTTTCCCATGTCCCAAATTCAGGCTGCACTCAATTGCAGCCGTTAGGTTCCTAAGATAGGATGTGTACCCTAACAAAAAGCTCTGCTGTGCTCTCCCTATCTCCCCCTTCTCCAAGGCTGCTAGAACAGACACGCTAACCCACAAGCAAACAACCTTGGACAATTAACTTAAATACCACTTTAGGGTTTGGGAGGCTGCCGTTGACAGTGCGCACACAGAAGGATGATGAGACTGATGAGACAGAAGGAGTGTCACCAAATGTCATCAGACATTACCAACCATCACTGTGCTCGGGGCTTTTCCAGGGAAGTGTGCCAAGGAGGAGTCCAAGGGCTGCAGCACGGAGCTCAGCCAGGGCAAGAGACCCTGAGCTGTTGCCTATAAATCTCCAAAGACTGTTGAAACATAACCAGAGAAAGCAAGTAGAGCAGCAGGGAGACCACTCTGGATGCAAATGACAGAGCATCACCGAACCATATGCAACCCTACAAAGATAATGGCCCTAAATTACCTCTCGCTTGCATTGGTTCATTAAGAATTTGATAGAGCTCCACTAGTGCTGTTGGAAGCCTGCTCAGAGAGCTAAGTGGACTCTGGATCAGGCTCCAGGACTGGAAAATATATTAGGTCATAAAGTACAGTATTACATATTTTATAAGGGAACAGCTATCAACATCTGCTCCACCCAGTGAACATACAAAAAACAGCTGGAAATAAGAACAGCTGTGCAGATCTCAAGCTCTCTTTAGCAGCAGCTTCTTCCAGCCACTCCTGACCTCATGCTAGAAAGACGTTTCTATAGCTCTTGTCTGCAGGAGGAATCTTAAGACCGTGAGAATACCATTATGATAGCAATAGATGTGAGTAAAATAATTACAGCATAAAGAAGACATGCTTAACATCATCAATTGTGTGAATTAACCTATGAGAATACAAACATGGGCAATGAGAGATGTGTTTGCAGGCACCTTTAGTGCACACACCTTGAATCTCAAATTTGCCACCAAGATTTTGGTATTTGCTAGCCTGATTTAAAACACACAACTACAGCCCGAGTCAGAGCAACCACTGCTTACACACAACATTGTCCTGTTAAGGTTTGCGTGGAACAACGGGCATCAGGGGATCCATAACCTCATTAGCAGCAGCTCCATCCACTGCTTCTTACTCCCAAGGTGGGGATTTTTAGACCTGGACCTAATTTCTTGCCTTGCTAGCAGCACTCCTCACCCACAGGAACAATTCAGATCACATTCACAAATCTACCACTATGTCATCTGCATTTCCAAGAGGAAAGAGACATAGATCTGTGGTACAATCTGTACATTTTTGTATTTCTTTTCCATCATGTCTGGGAGGTGGATCCAAACAGTGCTTTTTCATCATGCTTTTCTTCCTCCCTTAGTCATATAAACCAGAGTATGCGTTGTACTGAGATCACTCCATCAAAACATCCAACAATTTATAAAGAAATTGGTTCACTTTTAGGCCAAGGTGGTCAACACTGTGCAGTAACACTACCCCAAGCTGCATATGTGGCAGATCCCAGCAATCTGCTGGCTATGGCAGCACTACTCAAATCTATACAGGAGAGAGACTTCTGGAGGTGGGCATTGCTGACGTGCTGGATATGGATACCACTGTCCTGATGCTTTGGATGGCAGGTTGCTCCCATCACAGAATGTCTCTGGGTGGAAGGGACCTCAAGGATCAAGTTCCAAAAGCCCTGACTCCAGTTCAGGAAGGACATGGAGCTCTTAGAGCGGGTCCAGAGGAGGATCACTAAGATGATCGGGAGGCTGAATCAGATTTTATCCATACATAAGAAGTAGAAATAAAACAATCACAACAGTGAAGCCAGAAGGTGAGAATTTCTGCCAATTTAACACAAACACAGCCCTGATGCAAAGGAATTCCCGAGGGAAACACTGCTGTGATGGAGGAGTCCTCCAGTCCTTCACAGCAAAGTGCTGGCGCTGAAGCAGAAGCGCGTGGAACAATGCAAGTGATGTCAGAACAAGTGATGTCAAGGAGCTGAGCTCAGAGATCCAGATGCTGAAGTTAGCTTGCAATGAATGCACCAAAACAAGGGTATCCAAAGCACTGAATGACTGCTAACATAGAGCCAAGAGTCAGAAGTAGAACAGAGATGATAAAAGTAACTGTGAGCCAGCCGGCCAGCACAGTGTTGAGCAAAGCAATGCAAAGCTGATACAAACTTCAACTAATAAAAGCAATTAATTAAAATAATAAAGTATAGCAATATAATTAACACCAGTAATCACAGTTTATGGAAAACAGGCCTATCATATAAATCTAATTTCATTCTTTGATGAGATTACGAGTTTGGTGGATGAAGATAACAGGAAAGATACAACGCAGGTGGAGTTTGGTGAGTCAGAACACTGCATGCTGATTGCATGATGATGTGAAGCATCTGCTGAAGGAACACTGCTTGTAGCACGAGGCCATGGTGTGCCACGCACTGCTCAGATTGGGATCTGAACACACAGGAGTCAACAGCAGAAGGTAAGAAGTTAATCATGGAGAGCAACGTGTGTTACCAGGGGGTTCTGGGCACTTACAGAGCTGTTTAGTGCAGGCAAACAGCTTCAGAGCTGCCAGAGAGGAACATAGGGCTGCAAGGAGGACTACATGGAAAGCTGTGAGTCAGGACAGAATTAAGCTCTTGAATAAAGCGAATGCAAGTTCTTTTTTTTTTTTTCTTTTTTCTTTTTTTAATTTTTCTTTCCCTAAAGCAAATTTGATCCTTCAGTCCATGAAAAGAATAGAACCAGGGGGAGATTTTATCTCAGCACACAGCACCTGTTGTGTTTTATCACCTGCATTTCTTAAGGCTGCTGAAGATTTGTGTGGGTAAAGTTTGAAACCATTCAGTAAAATATCTTATATATTATTTGCGGAGTTTAATCCGTTTAATTAAGCAGCAAAACAATGGAAAGGTGATTTAATACCGGTCTGTGCATGCAAAAGAAAGCAGTGGGTATCAAAGGGACCGTCCATCAAGTGAAGCAAAGCAGAACTTGCACCAAGGTCCTAAATGAGAAGCCAAACAATTTTAAGTGAGCAATTATGAATGCAATTTAATAGAAAAAGATATTAACTGCTTGCACGATCTATTGAGGGAATGGTTGATTCTGCAATTTTAAGCAGATAAGATGACAAAACTAAATGCAGGTTACTTTTCTTAAAGAAAAAAAGAACTATACATACATCTTCAGACAAAGTATAGGGGGTAGCTGGCCTTTCATTAAACAAAACATCAAAGTAGATGTTCTCATGGTCCTTCCTGGCCTTAAACCAATCGAATCCCTGAAGAAACAGACTGCTTTTTCTGTAAATAAAACTGCAGGATGACTTCTGGTTTCCAGCCAGTTCTAAATACGCTTTAAATTGTTCGGAGTTCTGCCTGTTTTTCCCATTCCGCCTGGAGTATTTCAAGCAGGTCAGTACAAGTATTGATAAACCATATTTCCCACCAAAAAGGAGATTGTTTGGTCAATAATTTCCATTGGCATTCATATATTTTTACATGCTTACGACAAACTTTACAGAGTACTGGGTTGTTCTCAGCGTTTCCTGGTGCAAACCAGAACACTCTGTCATCAAGATGTCCATACAATTTTGTTTTGTATTCTTTTCCTTGCCTATACGTAGTGTTTTGTGAGTAATCAGTGAATCAAATTGATGTATGAAGTGGTCGTTTCTTGCAGCCTTTACCTCCAGAAAGTTACATCACCACCATCTGCTGAGGATTCTCACTCCTGTAGCACATGATGGGATCCAATGAACGTGGGGCAGTTTCTCACCACAGCACTGCACACAGTCATGTTTTCTGCATTCCTCCATTGTTACATGATACTTGAGCTTAGCAGACAACTGCATGGAAAAAACAGCATTTACGTAAATGCTGGGCCAGATCCAAAGCACATTAAAGAAAATGGAGAATTTTGATTGAGCTAATGGGACAGGACCTCCAGAACCTGGATTTCCCACAGGTCCACAGGGTACATCTCCATCCTTCCCACCATTTTTTGGTGGGACTGACTCTGCAAAGAGGTGCTGAGCAAAGCCCTGGAGTCTCAGCTGAGGTGCCCAGGAGGAAGGCACAACAGCAGCCCATGGGAAGGCACTGGGCTGCCTCCACGTGCCTTGAACCTCTCCCCACAGCTCACACCCACAGAGCAAAAACCAGAAGAAACAACATCCATCGGCCGGTCATCTGGCCAGCAAGGGCAAGGATGCTGTGTTGGGGTTATTCATTTTTATTTTTAGCAATAAGACCAAATACATGTTGGCTTATCTCACTGGAGAACTCCAACTTGGCAACACAAAGGACGCAGTGGTGTCTCCTAATGAAAAGCATACTCTCTGCTGCGACCTACAGGCCATAGCTGTATCCTGTCATGGGATGCCTTTTCTGGGGCAAGGCTTTCTGCTTTTTGGTTTTACTCCACGCTGTATTGAACTGCTTCATTACAACCAGTACCCGTGAAAGGAGAACTAAGCACATTCTGTTTTCAAAACCTTTCAAAACCTAAAACATACCAACATACTTCCATCTCCCACCAGGGCACTTACAGCTGCTCCCTTGACATGTCCAGCACTTCAAGTCCAAAACCAAATCCACCTCATGTCCTCCATGCTTCATTTTGGGTACATTTGAAACAAGCACACAGCAGAGTCCATCAGAACTGCACACTTTGTACCAACATTCCTCCAAACAACGGGCAGGTTGTGACAGGACAAGAAATAGTTTCAAACTAAGAGGGCAGATTCAGGCTGGGTGTAAGAAAGACAATAAGGGCAGTGAGGCAGTGGCATAGGGTGCCCCATCCCTACAGACACCCAAGGTCATGAAATGGGATCTGAGCACGCGAGGGAGCTGTGGGTTCCCTGCCCAGTGCAAAGCATGGGACAGATGGCTTTTAAAGGTCCCTTCCAACTCAAACAATTTTATGATTCTATGATTCTAATGAAAACATAAGGGGTAGATAACAGCAGGACAAGGGGAAATGTTTTTAAGTTGAGGGAGGGAAGATTTCAGTTGGATGTCAGGGGGAAGTTCTTTACTGTGAGGTGTTAGAACAGCTGCCCAGAGAGGCTGTGGATGCCCCATCCCTGGAGGTGTTGAAGGCCAGGTTGGATGGGGCCCTGAGCAGCCTGGTCTAGTATTAAATAGGGAGGTTGGTGACCCTGCATATGGCAGGGGGTTGGAGATTCATGATCCTTGAGGTCCCTTCCAACCCTGGCCATTCTGTGACTCTGTGACTCAGGGACAAACAAGACATGAAGTGTCAATATGGAGCAGCCTCAGGCACTTTGGTTAAATTTCCCTCCAACTATTGGCTTTGAGAGCCTAATTAGTCAAATAGCCAAGCTTGTATTTCAGTCCTATACTACAGGGAGTTCACAGCACCTCGGTTTCATTGACAGCCATCAAAATTCACTCCATGCTCCTTGTCAAAACAGCAATAGTAATTATGGGAAAAATCAGCCAGGGAACCCAGGAGGAGGCAGAGGCTTGCCTGGCTAGCAGAGCTCTATCTCAGCACCCATCCTTCCCTTTGCATTTTCTTCCTGCTTAGGGATGGTGATAACCACCAAAGCTACAAAGTAAAAACACTCCGCAAAATAATAAATCACCTGGAGGACAGGTACAATTTGGGCTCAGAAGCCGTGCTTTACTGGTGTCTCAGCACTCATTTGTCACTCATTTATCCTCCGTGCCTCAGAACATCCCCCCCGCATCCGAGCGCTTCGTGTGCTGTCAATGATTGGCTCCAATCACTCCCATTTCCAAATAACTGCACGGCCCAGCACCTAACAGCGAGCTCAGAAAGCAGCAGAGTTTGTAAATCATTCACAGATCAAACAGAGCAGAAAGCCTGACGAAGCGCAGTTTGAACTGCCGTCATATACTTAACAACATCGCCGCAAAATGTTGATGTGTGGAAATCAATAGGATCTGACAGGCTAAGTATCACTCTGCAGTCCAAACACAAGTTTAACTAACTTCACAAATGTCACCTGGGCCAGATGAAGATGGAAACTGGGCTTTTCCTTCACCAAGGGAAGGAAACTACCATTTTGTGCTCTGTGATCGTATACAGGTTTCATCTCCCAGCTGCTGTGCTACCCCCTCCCCATCTCCCCTGTCCAGGAAACAGCAATGGTGCCAGCTCTCCAAAGGAAGACAGGACACACAGCAAGCCTCCCCAGAGCCCTGCAGGGAGCAGCGTGATGGGGCACGCGCAGAACTGAGTCAGCACCCTGCAGCCATCAATCTCAGCCATTGCACAACGCCCTTCCATTTATTCCACCTGATCCTTTGCACTGATTTTGTAATGGAGTAATTTTAAAAGCACGGTTACCTCCTCCGAAGGAGTACAGGACTTCATGGGGATGGTAGTGCTGGCTCTCACCATTTCTATCTCGAGTCTTCTGATTTTTCATAGCAAGCCTCAGCTGCCAGGAGCGTGCAATAACATGGGGATCTCAGCTAGCCCTGCTCTTAATTCCTATTAACAGCAATTTTCTAGGCTTTATGATTGTACTACAGACCCAGAAATCAGAACACAAAGCAGAAAGGGTCTAATTTACTCAATTTTTCCATGATTTTTGAGAACTCTATGCAATTTGTTAAAGTCTGAAGGGAAATATGACATACTCTTACAGTTCCCAAGCTGAGTTTCTCCTCTGCCTTTCAAGGCGCCCATCTGCAGTGTCACTGCTCTTCAAAACAGAAAGGCTAGCAAATAAATTGGGCAGGAGAAAGGAGTGTTTAATCCTCTGCATTCAGAAAGGTTTTTTGCTAAATTCTACTGTGGCCAAACCACGCTGCTGCCAGGGCCAGCACTTCCCTATAGCTGAGCTCAAAGGACAACCAGGTTTAACCCTGCAGAGGCGAGTGGCTATCACTCAGAGATGGGCTGAGAGGATCTGCTTCAAAAACAAGAGCAAAGTGACTGCAGCTTGTAAGGGAAATCCTCTGCCCAAAGCATCGGGCAGAGCATCCTCAGGGTGCTGCTGTCTCACTGAGCCGCCACCGGTTGGCAGCCACAAGGAGGCCTGTTGTTCTTGGCACCTTTCTGAGAGCCTCACCTACAGAAAGCATTTAATTAACTGAGAATTTTAACCTTCACAACAAGCAAAGCAAAACAAGAAGTGACTGTTGAGCTCTGATGACTTTGGAGAAAAGCTCAAAAGCATGACCCTGCCATCTCTCGAAGGCAAGAAGAACGGTTACAAGACTTTGTGTTCTGTTTTTAGATACATGACTCCCAAAGCCAAACTCCTATTTTTAGAGGACCTGACATCACTTTTTCATGGGAGGAGGCATTAACAGCTTAGTTGGGCATTATCTCTGGGAGAAAAATCATTTACCAGATATTAGCTCTCTCTAGATAGTAATGGGCCAGTGAAGAAAAATGTGTTTTGCTTAAGTGTTCATTACCATGGCGGGTTTCACTTGCTCTAAAGCAACTTGCATATTAAGTAGCAATAATGGAAACCTCATTAAGGGCTGTGCATATGTATGGCACTGACAGGACACACAGGGAAACAGAAGCTTGCAATTTTAAGCTGTTCCCAACCTTCTCTGCTGGTGAGCCCACCCGGCCAAACCCCTCATCCCTATGGAGGCACTCACTGCTGCTGGATGCGGTCCTTCACAGCCTGACTTCATCCATCCTCTCTTTTTCCAAGAGCTATTTGCACATCATTCCATATGTCAAAGGGTACATTGCTCCACATGCAAAACAGGATGAGGAGACTGGGCTCTGAATGAAAAAAAAATAAATCAAGGTTCAGTGTATCAGTAATCAGACCCAAACCAATAATGGAGGAATTTCACCCACAGCTGTACGATGTGTTGTGTATTTCATGCTTCTAAACAACAAATATTGGTATTTCCTGCAATGTATAACACAAGGGAACTAGTTTCTTTCAAGCATGCATTTTTATAAAGTTAGAGGAATAAAAATTCTGACCTTGAAGCAGTGCCATACTAACATTAATAAAGCACAGAATGCCTACGATCCAGTTTATCATTATGACTCAGATGAGATTAGCTAATCAAGCAGCTTAACTCCCAAGCAACTATATACTGCTATTGTTTGTTTGTGGTTCTGCCAGAGAAGCCTCAAAAAGGATGAAAACCACAATTAAGGATTTATTTACATTTTTCTTTAAATATCAGCAGCATTATATTATGGACAATGCCCTTAATCATCTGCTCCAGGGTTTATAATGCACTACCTGCTCGTAAATTCCAAGCACTGATTTATTCTCTGACAAGGCACTGCTGGTTTTACGTGTGAGCCCATGGAGCCCAATCTAACTTTGCTTCCAGTGGAGAATTGATGGCTCTGAGAACTCCAGTACTTTCCCAGTCTCTGGCAATCACATCAGAGAACCCACAGCTTCATTTCCAAACCAAAAACCAGGTTAAATTGACAGCTTACAGCCAGTCCACGGAGAGCAGAGGTGGGTACTCTTCTACAAGGAGCAGATCTGCTCCTTGGATAGCTTGATACCTGGTCTGAAATCTGTGTTGGACTTGGTGATCCTTATGGGTCCCTTACATTCCAACTTGGGATACCCTATGATCAGAGCAGAGGAAACACCTTCTTCCCTGACTTTCACATAGATACAGGAAACATGAAGCTACAGTGGCACACCTGAGGAGATCCATCAGTTTGCCATTCCTAACATTCCTCTCCCTCCCCTCTTCCAGCCTGCCTTCAGCCTAACACAGGCTCCAGCCTGCACCTTGGCTCTTTCCTCTGAGGGGAGGGAGGGAGGCAAGGCACCAGGATGGCAGCAAACACTTACAGCCCGACCCTTATTTCAGTCATCTCCTCCAAGAAGGAAAAGCTGGACAGACTGACTCAGTCATCCCATCTTGACAAAGCAGGAATCTACTCTGTGATACTTCCTTAAGTGCTTCTGTCCAGTATTTACATTTAAACGATTCAAGGAATGGGGATTTCATGATTTACCAGCTTTGTTGTTTGGAAAAACACTCTGGCAGCCAGCTGGCATTTCCTCAGCTTGTTCTCATGCCATCCCTACCCTCAGTACTTCTTTCTACCACCCAGCACATTTCCTGGGCCACTGGAGCAGATTCCCTGTCCTCACTGAGCTGCCTTCAGCAAGGCATAGAACCAGGAAAAGGCTGACCTGCCTAAAACACAGCGATAGTTCTCCTCTTTAAAGATCTACAAGACCTTGGGAGCATCTGCTCCTTGGTCACTGACTGCAGTCTCAGCACAAGCTGGTGATCTCACACCATGTACCCGAACCTGGGGATATCTCCCATATCACTACTAGCAGCTCAGCTCTGCCCCTTCCTTGGGCTTTATTTGATCCACACGTGCTTCTTCTGAGCACCCCTCCCTTCACAGCCCTCCCACCCAAACTGACATCCCTCCCATCTGTCCAAGGGAGCTTTTGTTCCCCCAGCCCACTCCATAGAAACGAGGCCCTCTGCAAATCGCAGACCATCCTTGCCATTGCATTTCTATAGCAATGCTGGCACATTAGTTTCACTTATCCTTGGTTAATAGTTCAGCTTATATTCAAACAGCCATTAGCATAAAAATCAACACAGCAATTTTGTATGAATTCTCATATCATTAATCCATTTAGAGTGGATACACAGTTCACACTCCAAATTCACTTAATTATTGACTTAATAACATTTAAAGAGGCCATGGTCTTTGGCTCCATTGGAATGCCATTTCCCCCCCACTTCCCTTGCTTTTTTGCCACAGAAGTTGATTTTGCAAGGTTTGGGTAATGCTTGGAGGTGGTGGGGATCTCTCATGCATCTCTGTGAAAGATCCCCACACAATCACAGGTTCACTCTCATGAGAAATAACCTTCCAGATCTCTGGCTGCTCACTTGGTGTATTTGGGGAAAGAGGCAAAACAAATGCAGACAGCACAAAGCAGATGCCATTCACCCAAAGCACTCCACAGGGTCGGCCCTGAGCATCCCAGCCCCAGACATCCCAGGTCTCCTTCCAGTCTCCCTTTGTCCTGCTCCAGCTGCACACACAAGCCCTGCAAAGGATGGACATAATTACCTCTACATCCACCAATTAGCTCTAGCACAAACAGTGGAAATCACCATGATTTCCAAACACCACACACAAAGTTAATAACTGCACCAGAACTGTTGAAGCGAACTTTGATTTTCCTACACCGTTTAATTCAACATTTTTCTTTTTGTCTCTTCCCCAGCCCTCTGTTCTCTCATTGTCCACAGGGGATGATGTTGTTTGCACTTCAGCTGCTGTTATTGGGAAAAGCAATCGACAAGCAGCTGGCCTTGCATTTCGCTTTGAAAAACAGCAAGTTTGGACTCGCCCGAATCATTGCATAATTTGTGCTGCTGCTGGAGGCCTTTCCCAGAGGTTCGTCTTTTTTCCAGTGCAATTTGGTGGCACAGCCATGGATGCTGAGAGGAGCAGAGAAGCATCCAGAAGCTATGGGCAAATGCAGCGTGCAGCAGCATTCCGTCAGCCTCCTGCCATGCATCCCTCTGCCAGGGCCTGGAGCACAGAGGAGGATGCTGAGCACACCAGGCAGCGCTGTGCTGGAGCCCACCTTGCCATCATGCCAGGCAGGGCTATCAGACCCACGTAAACTCATGTTGGGAATGCTGTTTGGAAAGCTTGGGGTGGATCAAGTTGTTTTCAATTATTGTGGTAACACATTTCATCAGCTTAAAGCCACATGTTTGCCCCAGGTATGTTGCAAGCCAGATCTTTCATATGAATATATCCTAAACACAGTTCCACCTCTCCAAGTGATCATAACAAGCACAGCACCCCTACTGCCTGCAGAACAGTTGTGGCAGTATGTTGGCAGGAAACCTCCGCTATAATAGACGCTGCTGGAGACCGACTGCACCAGCACAAAGCTTTCTGCTGGAGAAGGAGCACAGGAGCCAAAGAGGCCACTCTGCCTTCCACAGGGAAACGAGTGCTTGGAGGATTTATCAATGGGCTCGAGCCCAGATTTAATAACACATCTTACCACAGATGTCAGCAAAAGCAGATTCAGATGCGCAGCGCTGCAGGATGCTTTTATTCAGATGTTGTAGTAAAAAGGAGAACATCCCAGAATAGACAATAACTACGCTGTGTGTGGTTTCTCCTCAACTGGGCTTCAGAGTGTTTCCCCACCTCTTTACCACACAACACCAATCCCTCTCAGTTTATGCGCATAGGGAATTTTGAGGGAGCAGTGCTTTCTTGGGAGTGCCCTTGAAAGAGCAGGCAGATGCTCAACACAATGAGGTACAGCTTTGCACCCATCGCATTTTGCTTGCTAGCTGCTCCAAGAATAAAAGTTTCCCATTTGGGATTTGAGAATCTACCCAAGCCATGAAAAGCACTCCTTTGTTTCAAAAAGTCCACCATTGCGTCTGCTTAATTTATAAGGTGACACCATAATCCTACTTCTACTGCAAAACACAATAAGAACCATTTCAAAAGGAGTCAGAGCTGCCCCTGAAATGCTCTGTGACATTTCACAAATATTACCAAACTTCTTCCTACTCTAAATTTGACACAGATTTTTCTTAACATTCTGTTTAGAAAACAGCCCTCATAAGCAACAGTTTCTCTGTACAAGGTCCATGCCTGGTTTGGGCAGTACACCAACCACCTCCCACCCCAGGCATGCACATACAGCCCGCATCCCTTCTTGCAGCCCACAGGGAGATGAAGCAGTTTTTCATTCATCCATCCCTACAGCAGGGATCGCACCTCGTGGCAATTTGAAGAGTATGGTGGAACAAGAGGAATTTCTCCAAGCCACACCACCCAACCACGCATGGAGCCACAGGTCAGACACAGCACACGGCCGGGAAGGCTGCAGCTCCACATGGGTTTGTCTCAGCCCTGCAGCAACTGTTCTCCATGTGGCACACACAGCACTGAACAGAGCAGCACCTCCTTAACCAGAACGGCTGTCTTTCCACCTAGCATTTAGGATTAAAAAAAAAAAACAACACAGCGCAGGAGCAGGCTGGGCTGCAGAGCACAGAATTTGCCCAACAAGTCTGCATCAGACAAATCCCCTGAGGAGTGGGTTAGCACACAGGCAGGGCTGGGTGCGAGCAGCCCTGCCAACACTGCTGCTGATCCTCAGATGCCAAAGCTGGGACTTGTCCAGACAAACCATGCTGCTGAGCTCCAGCCTTTGGCCAGAGCAAAGCTAGCAGCTGGAGTGGAAAAATACCTCTTTCCCACGTGTAGCCATTCACTCCCACCAGCATGTTTGCTCACACACACTCCAAAATCAGGATAATCCTGAAATAGGGTTGAAGTTGCTTCTCATTTACACTAGAAGAAATTCTCCTACTTCACTGTTCTTTGCCTTGCTACACAAGTTAGTATAAACGAATGTGGAGGGCTGCCCAGCTTTGGGAGATTCACCTCATGCTTCCTGGTGGGCCCCTCACCACCCTCATAAATAAGTACTAAAATGTGGACATTGTTCTCACAATAAATCACATTCTAATCGAGGCTGGAGAAGTGCCATTAAGTATTTTCTCCATCTTACTGAGCCCAGCTTTTTTCTGTGGAGGCTCTGTTAGAGGGTACATTTTAAAGTTAGCAGATCCCCAAAGTGGCACAGACACTAAATTTAATTTAGGAGAGAAAGGAATTAATGATGGTATATTTTGGGATCTCCAGCTACTTCTTTGGGTATCCACCAGCAAGACCAGGCCAGCAGCAGCACTCAGCTCCAACACTCCCACTTCCCAAGGTGCTGTCCAAGAGGAGCCCCAAGATGTTCATAAATGTAGATCTCAGAAATAAAGGCAATTCCTACCTCATGAACATCAGTGGGATGAAGATTCAGAGTCCAGTTGTAGGTCTGGAGACCATAAGGATGTCTTACTGCAGTGATGCACAACAGTACAGTGAAGAAGCAGCAGCAAAGTTTGTCTCATGGTTTCCATTTTCTAGGGACACATCCACGCACACCCTGCTTGTGCTGGCACATGGAAATACCAGAGGTGTACAAATCACAAATCAGCTTCGTTTTTTTTTTTTTTTTTTTTTGCAAGAACAGAAAAATTATACTTTTTTAATTACCATTTCCACGTGGGTGTAAACTACAGTTCTCATCCCTGTATAAGCACCATTAGAAGAAGGAGAAAGCATATCATTTTTCATACAGATGGAAGGAAAAGGAGGGAACCTGTTTGTACCAGTCATTTAAACAAAATAGATGAGGATTCTATCCAATCCTGTTACAAAGTGGGACTGTCTGGACACTTTGGATGTTCCCTCTCCTATCTTTGCAGTTCAGATAAAGATGCAGAAACAATACAGAGATTTTTTTTCCCCCCCACGTAGTGAACCATCAATACGAAACAAGAGACATTTAAAATAATATATAACAGATATAGCCTGACTTCCTAAAGAGCAGCAGGAACCCAACTGCTAATTTAAAGAAATGCCAACAAAAACCCCTTCCAGTGCATTTGGTTTTAGCTGAACCAGGACACAAATGCAAGAAACCTGACTGTACCAAGGCAGGGAATGCACAGTGCTCAGGACCAGCATTTATACCCAGAGCTACCAAGAGGAAGAGGCCTGCATGGAAAGCATGATTAAAGGCACGAAGCTTTTCCCTAGCTGAGATCTCACCCTGGCTTTTAAAGCTGCGCTCTGCCCAGTTTCACATTCAGATCAGTGCTCACAGAACAGGGTGGAGTCCAGGTCCAAAAGCCAAGAGCTGTTTCAAACCTTTCTGTTCTGCAAGCCAAATTTTTCCTCATCTGACACTGCCACAAGTGGGGAACACTTTAGTGGGGGCTCAGAGCCCAGGGCTGCTGATTCAGAGCTCCCTCTGATCCCCACATTCACACCACAGCTCTGCACAGAGCCCATTGGGCTGCCCCAGTGCAGTTGACTGCCCTAAGCCCAGGGCTGGCTCGCATTAGGGAAGATTCGGTACATCCTGACCATGCACACCCCAAGGGATACACAGCTCACACCCATAGAAGTCTTTTTGCTGGGACAGCTCAGTGAGCTCTGAGCCAACAAACAGAAGGACACTGTTGTGTGCATGCCTCCAATTAGGGCTTCATTCCCCTGCCAACTGGGAACGGCCCTAATGAAAGTAAATGTAAGTAAATATAAAAGTAAAGTATGGGTCAGCATTCAAGAACAGATTTTTTGGAAGGGAGTACATATAATATAATCCTGTTCCTTTTCTGCCTCGGTGGGGATGATGATATGAAAGAGTATTAAAGAGAGGTCTCCAAAGGCGGTGAGAATGGCTGCTGGGAACTGCAGGGCTCGGTTGTTCGTGATCCTACTCCAGCAACTGGGAGAAAGGGGTGATTAATGCTAAGTAACTCATACTATTATTTTATTATTTACGACCCTGAATACAAATATTGCAAACAGATTTTAAATAGGAGATTAAGCCAATTTTTTAATTACTAGTGTTAAAAAATAACTTGAATTCAGTATTAGCTGCAACCAATACAGCACCTTTCATTCCACTAATTGAGCATAATACGTTTAATGAACACACTTCATTGTTGTGTTTTATTGCCAGCACATTCTGCCATTTTCTATTACAACCCATTGTGGAAGATACCTGATGTTCTACCTGCACATCCTTCCACTTGGTCGTGCTTTCAGCCCAATTAATCAGCTGCTTTCAGCAAACCTTGAGCCCGTGTGCCTCATTTCTTCCAGCCAGGCATCAGCATAAGGAGCTCCAGCACTCCGGTAAGCCCAAAGCACATCCACCCAGCCCAGTCAAGAGCAAGCCAACCTCTTGCCCCTCTGCACTGCACCGGAGATCCCCCTGGTTCCTGTGCATCTTTGCACTAAAGGACCATTGTGCCTTTTCAATGTGGGCCCTCCATACAGATATTTAATAGAGATTTGTCTCTATTTCAGTGTTCAGATGTTCACCTCTAAGCTTGACTCTGGGTTTCAGGGTGCAACTCTCACCCTCCACAGAGGCACCTTGCAGGCTATAGGAGGAGGAAAGCCCAGGAATGTGGGTAATGGGAGAACTGCATTACCCAGGTTATTGACAAAAGAATTTATTCACTTAGAAGGGAAATATTTCCTGAAATAGCAGACGGTAGAACACCTAAATTATATTGTGCATAACATTAATCAAAGAAAGCAGAGGTGCTCCAGCACTCATGTAATGAATGGTTCATTACCACCGAGCTACTGGAGGAATCCAGGGCTGTATCTGGGTTATCTGTCCCTGGGGCTTCAGTCAGAGCTCATCATGTATCCTCAGAACACAGCCTGCCCTGTATGTGCGATTAGAATATTGCACATGCACCGGTTGGATTTCTGAACAGAAGGCAAAACATGTTAGCACAATCCTCAGAGATTGTATTCATGAGAGAGGTGAGGTAGATATACACAGAGACCAGCAATGCAGATAATTAGGAGGGAGGAAGTGGGAAGAAATCTGCAAGGAAGAAAAAAAACCTGGATAATCTGAACTCTTCCTCTGTTCCTGCTTCAAAGAGGGAAACTTCCAGGAAAAGAACATCCCAGCACTCCATAGTGAGTTCACCTAAAAACTGGGAATGGCACCAGTGCACTGATGGGTAATACTGAGGAATGACAGAGCTGCAAGAGATCCTCCTCTCACCACAAAACAGAAGTTCAAGAAATGCTCACCCATGGAAAACACAAGCCTTGCAGCCTGCTGAGATCAGCAGCTTTTGCAAATGATTGCCACGCATGTTAATACGTTATGAAGGCCATCTCTGAGCAAGCAACTGAACTTCCCCAGCCCCCAGAATCCAACGGAAAGAATTGCAACCTGCAGGTGATGCCTCTGTGCAGCCCTGCAGACTCCAAAAGAATGCACATCTGGAACCAACAACTGGGGTATGCTTTTACTACCAAAGCCATAACTCTCGTACAACAGAGTATAAATCCATGGACTATTTTCTTTTTCAAACTGATGCCAGCTCAGGTTTGTCTCCTCAGAAATGGCTCTTTCAAGTTCCGGCTGCACTTGGGTTTTATCTCAAAGATCTTTATCTTATCTATTGCTGAAGACAAGCAGGGGAAAGGCTCCCTTATCTCCCCCAGCCAACAGGGAAAGGCCTAATGACAAAATCCCATTGTTCCTGCTTGCAGCTCCCATTGAGCTTGACACCGTGTGTATATGCACCAACACCCATCACACTGCTGCCAACCTTCACTCAGATCCAAACCACACAGCTTACCTACCCACCCTACAGGAGCCCAAACACCATTGCTCTGGATTTCTCCTCCTCCTCAACTTCACAGCATTCAGATATCACTGTGGTGCAATTCTCAGTTGGAAGGTTTTTTCATTAATATTAACGATCGTTAAGTGTTAGTTTGTGTTCACACATGAAAGGTAATTCAGATTAAGACAGCAATCCTGCTGCTACTGCTGTTGGCAGCCGTGTCTTCATTTCATGCCTTCACCACACTGGGAAGCGAGGATCTCTGCTGCCATTGTCCTCAGGTTCTCCAGAGAACATCCAAAGAAGAGCATTCATAAATCCAGCATTCAAAGGGGAAGCACAGAAAGACCACTCCAGTTGAAGTACTGGGAATTTGTCATTTATTCCAGCAGGGGAAGGGAAATAAAGGATATCCCTGCATATGTTAGCTCTAAAATGGCTAAAAACTCTCAAGGAATTAATGCAGATAGAAGTTGTTCTTGCTCCCTCTGAATTAGGGAGACTACAAATAAATAAATAAATAAATAAATAAATGTAATAGGTCTACCACCAAGAAGTAGAAGCCTGCATGGCTTTGTTTTTCTTTATCAAAATACAATTAACACACCAATTTCTCCTTGCACAAAGATTAAAATAAAAAAATAGTTATTTTCCTACAATAAATCCCTAAAGATTTCATGACACAACGCAGCAGAGCAAAGTAGAGGCATATAATAAATCAGACCACATTCTAACTGTGGCTAAGGGGTTTATAGAAAGCGCTCTATCCGTTTCACACTCCAAAATCTGAATTATAATTAATTCCAGGAATCAACCAAACCTACCCTTGCTTTAAAAATGTCAGGCTGAGGAGTGCACTATGCGAGATTACAATTACAATTAATCAGAAGTGCACACGCATGCATCTCCCCACTTAAACTCCTTACCCAAAAAAATATTACAGCAGCCCTGACAGATACTAAATGATCTTTTCAAACAATGCTCACTGGTGATGAATGGTGCAATTCTGCAGCCCAGTGCTAACACAGAGCTGCTCGGCAGCAAGCAGGCATCATTTAGCAGCTCCCGTGCTCTCTCCAACACACGCCGATGGCACCGACAGCTTTTGCTATCCCATCTGGGAGGAACTCTAGGGATAGAAGAGCCCAGCATGCTAGATTCTATATCAAGTTATCAACATTTAAGGAACATTAGGCATAACTCTTGGGATGCTGCTGTCATTTACTCATTTTCTTGCACAGATAAATTGAGTTACCCATTGCTGCTGCTGCTAAGGGCCCTACTGGTGCTTTCCAGCCCTATGCTGTCCCACTGAAGACCACTGAGCTTTCTCTGCTCGAGTCTGATGCCCCAAACATGACTGCAACTCAGGCTGTTCAAATAAAAGCACCTTTTCTTCCACTTATCCACCTGAAAAGCAATTTCTGTTCAATTCACCAGGAAAATCAACACATTCTGTTCTGCCCCAAACATTTCTCTTTCCTAATCACCACACAGGGCTCCTATCTGCAGTAGATGAAGCAAGCAGACCAGAGATGTCTATTGCAGCCAGAGATCCTGCTTTTCTCTCATCAATTATTTGTGCTACAATTGTTTCTAGTGTTTTCTCCTCTTAGGGAAACTGATGGCAGCTGAGTGTTTGGCTGCTGCTGTAGAAGTGCCAAGGCTTGTTATTTCATTATGGAAGTATTA